TGTATGGGCAAATATAGAGCACCATATTTGCCCAACATTTGCCAAGCGGACATATGATGACCAAATCCATTATTTCGTCGAGTGTAAATTTCAATTTTGGATAGAAAGACTGGCACGCTGGCACTGAATCCTGAAAATATAAAGCACACTAAAATTTATTTGTTGTTGTTGTATCTTGAGTCGGACTAAAGTTTAGAGAAACAGAAAACATAAATATATTAAAATGTACCAAAAAACGGCGGCATGCCCGTATACGGTGCACCGCGGGGACTTCCCCTCTGGATTCCGCCCCTGCTTCATGCAGATGTCACCCGTATATGTTCAGGTCTGACCATTTGGTAGCCAGTTAAGTTGTTCATCGTGCGATTACTGAATTAACTGGAAATCCAGAATAATATTGTCGTAAAACTCTCAAAAGCAAGGAGGAAAAAAAATAGTAATACCAAGAGTTAACTTCAGTTGGCAATAATATTGAACGTGATCAATTAGAGTCTTCAGTCGTCAATATTTCTCAGTCTACGTGGGTTTTTTTAATCAAGTGATAGTAAATTTAATAGATCATTATACTAACGGCCTATGCACTGAGCAACACTCAACACAACGGCTATGAAACTCGTTGTTTTAGTAACAAACGAGATAGAAAATTTGTCATGAAATATAGGCAATAAATCAATTCTGGTGTCAATAAAAAAACTGAATGCGCCGTCTGTTATCGATGGGTGGCTCGCCTGATTATATGTGAGAAAAAAAATTAAGATTAAAGTCCATGGTACGTTGACCGAGGAGGTAGGATTTTTCACAGTTGATTCGAGGGTTTTTCTGGTTCATCGGTCAGTTTTCTTCCCTTTGCCGACAAAAAACAATTTTATTTTAAGTTATAATTCTAATATATAATGATGAAACTAGGACCATACGTTTGTTAGCATCACTAGTTTTACTCTAAATAATGTGTCTTGCGCGCTGGTTCCAAGTTGTATTTTCTCGACAGAACTGTGTGAAATTTAAAAACTTTTCATGTTAACATGTTTGCCGTTCTACACAATAGCTGTTATTACAGTTGAACCCGCAATGAGAAATTCTTACTTTTTGTTTTCGTATACTAAGCAGCTGTTACGTATTAGCACCGACCCAACAGGTAAAAAATAAAAAGTTACACGAAACTTTAATTGCTCAGCGTGCTAATTGCTCAACAAACGTTTTAACAGTTCTCGCAATCAAAATGCTTGGGTGGCCTAATTCGCACATTGTAGACAAAAAACATTATACACAAAAGTTAGTATTGCTCATGTTTTAAAAGTCTGACTTTTCTGAGTTATGCTATTGGTTTTAGGCCGTGCGAAATGGGGGGTACCATATTTTGGTTGAAGATCATTGGGACCGTTTTATATTGGTCCCAGTCTCCTCCGTCCCTACGCGATGAGCATTATGGGTAATTTCAAGATGGCGGACGCAGAAGATCCATTTGAATCTCTTTTATTTTTAGAGGAAAAGTAAGACGAAAATCTTTTTAAATAAAATGAAATCGTTTTAAAATAACTGATATAAAAATATGTTCTATATTGAAGGCGAAAATTTAAACAATTATTGAGAATTCTTCAAATGGAAAGAGAGAAAGAGAGCTTAGAAGTAATATTTTCTCTATTTTCTCATCCGTAGCTGCCATAAAGATGGCTATAATGAAGGATGGATCGTAGGTCAAGGGAAAGGTCTTTCAGTTGGACGAGGTCTTGGTATTGATAAAGGCAAAGAAATTGGCTCTGAGGTAAGCTTAGGAATCAAAAAATGTATCCTAAAAATGTGACATTATGAAAAGTTGTATAGAAATCCTGCTACGGTTGTACAAAGTTATCATGACTTTGTAAAACTATTAAGCTTTCTGCCACTATTAAACTTTCAAGGTTATTTTGATTGGAGGTAGTGACTACTCCCAAGTCTTTATGCCGACCCTCATCCCCCTCCCCCCTCCTGAAACCTCTATTCAGGGTATTAATTGATCTGTGAGTTAGCCATGCCCTGACATTGATAAGCCCAGAGGTTGTTTCAAGGTTCAATCTTTGAGTTAGCCATGCTGTGACTTGGATCATCCCTGAAGTTGTTTCAAGGTTTGATCTGTGAGTTAGCCATGCCCTGACAATGATAAGGCCAGAGATTGTTTCAGGGTTTGATCTGTGAGTTAGCCATGCCCTGACTTAGATCAGCACAGAGGTTGTTTCAGGGTTCGATCTGTGAGTTAGCCATGCCCTGACTTTAATCAGCCCAGAGGTTGTTACAGAGTATACTGATAAAAGTTAAAGTTTATTACAGTGTCACTACTGTAATCGGGGCCACCTAAACAACGTATAAGTGCATGGCCCTGGTTATAGTAGTTGCACTGAATTCTGTTTGTTTCCAATTTAACTAGATTGGTTATTATTCTGGATTCGTTTCAACTTGGCTTCTTCTCATAGACAAGTCTGACAAGAAGGGTGCAAGGTTAGCGCTGTTTCAAAAATACTCAATGTTTGAATGTACCAAATCATGAATAAATACTTTGATGCTGACTCGTCAACCTGTCAACTTTCTAATATACTGCCAGTGCACAAAGAGTTATATTAGAGAAACAACCAGGGTCCAACAAGTCAGACTTTGATGGTCATTTCCTAAGTCATTGCTATTTCCATAAACACGAAAACTTTGTAGCTGCAAGCTTCATGCTGAAGTTTGGTTTTTCATTGCCATGAATCAAATCTAATCAGTGGGTACCTCTTATTTATGATTGGTGGCAGTACTAAAACCAAATTCCAATGGAAAAATCGAAACTAAAGAGTTCACATGTTTTATAAAAATAGCAGTAAGCTTATATATATTGGTTATATTATTTTTCACTTCGTAGGGTTAATACTCAGCTTCAAAACCTGAACTCCTTAATCGACCAGCTGTCAATCACAGATCCCACTGATGAAAATCTCTTTGCTAATATTGAGAAAGTGAGAGCCAAGTTTAAGAAGGTCAGTCAATAGATATATACAAAAGACTTTATCTATAAAATAAGGGTAAATACTAAACGTTATCTTAGGATAGAGGCCTTACACCATCACGTGATGGCAGCCGTGACAGGAGGCACAATGTTAACAGGGCCTTTGTTCCCAGGGAAAGCGAATTCTTTCTTATGTAATGAGACAAGGAAAAATTCAATTGTTTCTGCCTCCTGTCATGGCTACTATCACACAATGGTGCAAAGCCTCTAGCCTCTATAACCGACAAACTTGAGGTCCTTTAACATATTGTTATACTATTTTTTTACAGATCATCTCTCTCCTTGGAGTCAGCCCTGAGGGTAGAACTCAAGAAACAGAGATGCTTTCTTTTTGAATACAAAATATATATACTGCTCTTGTATAGCACCTTGCAACATTTCAGAAAAATTTCAAAACCATTTTCGTTAGTAACGAAAAAAACTCCGTAAAAACGCACCAAACTGGCTTCAAAATCAGCAAAACATCAAAAGATACAACAAGCTATCCAGGAAAGTCGTTTTTATTCTTAGAAGTACTAATTTTCCACGCTACAAAATATTACTGTTAACACTCAAAACAAGAGATTGGGCTGCCTGTGATATGTAACTACAGTATTGGGATCCCTGCGGTTTTATTTCGAAAGCTAGGTTTGGGATACCTGTGGAGTTATTTTAGGCCCTGACTTCCGGTTGACAGGACGGTCTACCAGTCAATTTGTAGAGAGAAGTAAAACAAAATGCTATCTCTAAATATTCTGAACTATGTGGTCATTGTCAGCAGTATTGCCATTTTGGTTTTCGCAAGAGCTAGTACCATTAACAATGGCAAGAGTTCACGAGCACGTTTGGTTGAAAAGATGAAAACCGATGCACAAAACCACGGCGACATCGCGGAGAGGATCATCAAATTCATCACTTCGGGACCAGCAAAGCACCAAGTATACGACAGGCTGGCTACTTTTACTGATACTTTTGGCAATAGAATAGCGGGCTCACAAAACCTAGAGAATGCTATTGATTATATGCTAGAAGAATTAAAGAAAGATGGTTTGGAAAATGTCCATGGCGAGAATGTGAAAGTGCCGCACTGGGTTAGAGGAAGTGAATCAGCCACGATGCTTAGCCCGAGAAGATATTCCATGAATATCTTAGGACTTGGATCGAGCGTTGGAACCCCGCCAGAAGGGATTACTGCCGATGTCTTGGTCGTGAAATCATTTGACGAGCTAAAAACTAGAGCGAAAGAGGTATTTAAAAATTATTAAAGATAAAACTTTTTTGCTCAAGAGAATAAATAAATAACCCTTCGTTTTTGAAAGATGGTAAATAAAAAAGTTTAAAGAATAAATAAGTAGTTGAAGAACGTGACCTGAAGACATCAATTTTTAACAGCAGGTAAGGGTATTCTTCGTTTGCACGTTACGTCATCGCGGCCTGTCCGTACTGCCATTTAACAAAAGATTTCTCATTAGCATCCATTGTTAACACAATGGCCGCCATGTTTTCTGTCTTTTTAAAACTCTCTTCGGAATGCTTGCAACCCATCAGTTGTTTTTTGTTTTTCAAAGTGACCACAACATCCCCCAAGAGATGATTTAATCATATGCAAATAACCTGCAATAAACCCATTGTTGGTAGCCAAAACCGGCGAAATAAAGAATATCTTACTTGTTAGGGAAGAAAAAAACGGGTAGAGCAGACCAGCTAAGCGGTGAACCGGCGCGCAAAGCATGATAGGACAAAATGACCGACCCTAAGCATTTTTGGAGCTTAAAAGAACGAAGCAAACGTGGCAAGAAAGAGGTTTTGAGGAACAGAATACAGATTCCCTTTTTTCACCCTCAATGATCATTTTGAATGGAAACGCTTTGGTGCATTTGCGTAGAATTTTGACGTTGAAATTTTGAACATTTTGAAGAATTGTTTTGCCCTTAAAGTGCTACTACGACGAAAATCGCTCAAACTTGGATTCAGCTGAAACTTCCTAAGAATACTCTTTAAAGGTCCAATAATCACTGTATGAAGTGTTTTCTCGATATTCAGGACGAAAGTATGATATTTTTACGATTATTTTTTGGAGTCTGTGACGTCATACACTCAACATCGAACATCTTTCCATACATTTCTTCGTAGTTTATGATCAAAATATCAGTAGTAAAGGGAGAAAGAAATACCCAAACACCCCAAAATATAAATTATAGTCACAAGTAATGTGAAATAAGCACATTAGCCACCCTTTGGGCTTCATAGGAATAAAATAAATTAAGGATTTATATACAAAGAAATATAAAGATATAACTAGCTAAAAACTAGTGTGAGCTGCGTCGGTGTTTCTAATGAAACAGTAATGATGAAAAGGTAAATTATACACCGTGAAAAGATGAAAAAACTTACTGACGTTTCGGACGCTAGTCCTTCGTCGGAGTAAAAGACTCCGACGAAGGACTAGCGTCCGAAACGTCAGTAAGTTTTTTCATCTTTTCACGGTGTATAATTTACCTTTTCATCATTACTGTTACAAAGAAATATGTAGCGATGCTCGATGTTGAGTGTATGACGTCACAGACTCCAAAAAATAATCGTAAAAATATCATACTTTCGTCCTGAATATCGAGAAAACACTTCATACAGTGATTATTGAACCTTTAAAGAGTATTTTTAGGAAGTTTCAGCTGAATCCAAGTTTAAGCGATTTTCGTCGAAGTAGCACTTTAAATGATCATTTTGAATGGAAACGTGTTGGTGCGATGCTGGTACATTTGCGTAAAGATTTTGACGTTGAAGTTTGAAGATTTTGAAAAACATTTTCGTAATCCCCAAGTTCACACGCTTTTTTAAACTTTATTTAGCTTTAAGATCTTACAGGTATTTAGAATATATATGACGAAGCACCATTCCCTCAGATAGAATATTTTCATTATATTTTCAAAGTTTTTAGCTTTTTTTGTGTTATTTTTAGGCCGAAGGAAAGATAGTTGTCTTTAATGAAGAGTTCGTATCATATGGAGAAACTGTTTCCTATCGAGATTTTTCCGCTGTTCGCACTGCAGAGGTTGGTGGCGTGGCCTCTCTCATAAGGTCCGTGGCTCCATTTTCAATCAACAGCCCACACACAGGATGGCAGGACTATAGTAAAGGTGCGTTTCATATATAAATCAAAATAACGATGTTGAGTGAAAACTAGGAAATCAGAAGATAGCAGAAATCCTTTAAATTTTATCCATAAACTGAAAAAATCTTTGGGCTGGTTCAAGTCAGGGCACGGCTAACTCACAGATTGAACCCTGAAACAACCTCTGGGCTGATCAAAGTCAGGGGCATGGCTAACTCACAGATAGAACCCTGAAACAACCTCAGAGCTGATCAAAGTCAGGGCAAGGCTAACTCACAGATTGAACCCTGAAACAACCTCAGTGCTGATCAAAGTCAGGGGCATGGCTAACTCACAGATAGAACCCTGAAACAACCTCAGATCTGATCATAGTCGGGGCAAAGCCAATTCGCAGATCGAATTGAAAGGAGGCTCGTAAGGAAGAAGGAAGACCGCATAACGAGGAAAAAGACGGATGAGTCAAGGCAGCGACCTAACGAACTCTGCTGACATATGATACCGAGTATAGGAACCTGGAGGCGAGGGGCGAGTGAACTACCGCTACTGACACCAACCTTGATTCCCATCATTATCACATTGACCTCACGTTTGTCATTACTGATTACTTTTAGGTGTAAAGAAAATCCCAACAGCTTGCATTACAATAGAAGATGCTGAGATGTTGGGAAGGATGGCGGCCAGAGGAACCAAGATTACAATCAACCTGAAAATGGAAGCAAAGACCCTCCCGCCTGTTACATCCAGAAATACTGTGGCTGAGATTGTTGGTAGCAAATATCCTGATCAGGTAAAACTAATGAAGAATACTGAACAGAGGTTTATGTGACGTTATGGCCGCCATGTTGGTTGACTTGAACGAATGATTTGATCTTGATTGCGGCCATGTCTATTTGTCCTTGTGCATGTGATGACATGACCGCCATGTTGGTTGACTCGAAGAAATGAGATTTCGTTTTTTTCGTTTTGTTTACATAGCGACAATCGTCGGCCATGTCTTTTGTCCTTGTGCATGTGACGTCGTAGCCGCCATGTTGGTCGACTTGAAAGAGTTTCGCTCTTGTTTTCTTTTGTCATGTAAACAACATGGCGGCCATTGATAAAAATCTAAGACTAAACTAGTTTATATATCTAGGTTGTATTGGTCAGCGGTCACCTCGATAGCTGGGATGTTGGTCAAGGTGCAATGGATGACGGCGGTGGGGCATTCATCTCGTGGCAAGCTCTGTCCGTCATCCGCCAACTAAAACTCCGTCCCAAGCGCACCCTTCGTATGGTGATGTGGACCGGAGAAGAAGAGGGGTATTTTGGGGGTTTACAATATTACAATGTCCACAAGGTCAATATCAGTAATTTTGATCTCGTAATGGAGTCCGATATCGGGACATTCAAGCCACTGGGATTAGACTTTAATGGATCTGCTGATGCAGTCGAAGTGATGAAAGAAGTGTTGAAGCTTCTCAAGCCGATTAATGCCTCGATGTTGAACCCTACGAATGTAGGCGGAGACATAACTAATTGGGTGAAAAATGGCGTTCCCGGCGGGAGTCTGTCTAACCAGAATGATAAATACTTCTACTTTCATCACACTGACGGTGATACTATGACGGTGCTGAATGCAGATGAGCTGGACTTGTGTGCTGCATTATGGGCCGTGGTGGCGTATACAGTTGCTGATATGGAAGACATGTTACCTAGGTGATACGATGCTGCCCCATACCCCCCCCCCCATCACCACCACACCCACACACACCACTTCACTTTTGACTACTAAAACAACCTTAAAATCGATTATTGTATTGTGATCCATAGCGTCATGACACGTGTGTGACATTAGAGGATCATGCAATTAGGTTGCTAGGACACAGCCCCGTCACGGTCACGCCACGTTTGATTACAAACTTTTTTTTACAGCAATTTGACAAATTCTTTCTTTAATCCTAGAGATAGAGCTAAAAATCGACTATTTAAAAATGATATTTTGGAGAATTTTTCTATCATCGGTTTTGACGTCAACTTGACGATGTTATGACGTCAACCGCGTGCATTAAAAACTGGTGTTAGGATTCATGCAGAAAAGTAATAGTTTTTCGTTAAGTTGAAACTGAGTTTACTTATACATCTATTAATTTAGCGCTTTTTCCTTAATTCAAATTCAAATTCAAATCGATTATTTATACCCATCGTAATTCATTATTTTCTTACGAAATAAAAAAACAACAACAGAAAAACAACGAAAAAAGGTGTCATTGAGATACACAATCCTGTTAGCAGGATGGTTATACTTCCAGGGCCGTAACCAGAACTTTTACGGGGAGGGTGCACATCGAATAAAATCGGACCATTGATCGTTTCTTTTAAGAAAGCAGAACCAAAAAAAGGTAACCAAAAGAAAGCAGAACCAAAAGAAAAAAAGGAGATGGATGTGCGGACCTTAAGCTTTTATGGGGGGGGGGGGGGGGGGTACACGTGCACCCTGTGCTCCCCCCTAGTTACGGCTCTGACTTCGAGAAGTTCTTGATATCGTGGTAGTACCCCGTTGTCATGGAGATACGTGATCCTCAGATAAAGCTCCAATAAGATGCAACTGTTGCTTGGTAACAGATGGAGCTAGTTCCCCATCAGAAAGTTCTTGCTTATGACTATTTAGATTAGCAATAATATCCTCTGTCTCGAGGTCATATTTTTTCGCGAACTCGAGCTGTTTTTCATACATCTTGGCTCGCTTCATCAACACTCGTTTTCTGTTTGGCACGAGTCGTATTCTCCCAGAACTGTTTTTATAGTCGCCAGACTCTTTCATTCGCATTAAATCTTTCGGCCTTTTTTTCGCCATTGGGTCTGGAATTGGCGGGTAAAAACCAGTTGTTCGCTTAGGCTTTTTAAAAACAAATCCAGAGATCTCCATTTCTTCATCTGATTCTTGCTCGAGTACGAGCTCCTTCCAGCGGCTTTCCCATTTATTTGAAATCTTTTCCTTCTTCTCCAAAGTTTTTTGACTTAAATCTTCGACTTCTTTCCCTTCTCTCAAAACCATTTTGGCTCTCATTTTTCGTGCTAGTACTTCTTCACTTCCCATGCAATTCATATATAAACTTTTTGAAGCCTTAGTGAGTGTTTTCACGCTCTTCCAACGGTTTAACGGGAGGCTTGAAGTTTCCTTTTCGTATGCAATTCTTTTTCCTAACATTTCAATCTTCTTTTCCGTGTTTTTAATCTGCATTGAGTAAGACTCCCTTTTCTTCTTGGCGTGTCTACCTTCAGCAAGTTTTTCTTTTAGTTCTTGAACCTTGTCTTCAAGTGCTTCTTTCAGCATCTCCAATCTTTCGACTTCTTTTATAATTGGTCGAAGTTTTCCTGGCGATCTTTTTGATTCAAATTCGTCTTTTTCGGTAGCCATGCTTTGTGAATTTGAAACTATCTCTATTTTCAATTCCTTAGCGTCAAATGAACTTATCTTTGGAAGGGAAGTACTTCCCAACTTGTCTTCTTGATCCGTGTTTTGAAACTTTTTACCTTCAAGTCTTTCTTTTATATTCAAACTTTCACCTTTCGACCAAGCCACTCCATAACAGACTATTTCATCTTTCTTGTCTTCTTTAACACTTGAACTCGTAAAGTTTTCCATTAGTGAACTAGTTCTATCGAAATAAAATACGACCAAATTCAACTCGAGAGGATAGTACTTCAGAGGAAGTATAAACTCAGTCAACTTAACTGTGTATTCTTGATTCGTATTCGTGACTTAAGGATTTCTCTGCAGGGTTTGCGATTAACAAATAAAGCAACTCTTTATGAAATAAATACTTTTCAATAAAAGTATATGACGTATGTCAAGTAAGCTATAAATATTTAATCATTATTGGGAGACCTGAAATCTGAATACTGGGGAATATACTTGGCTTGATTTGTTGCATGTTTAGGACGAAGTTTCAAGTTACCACATGAAAAGTGAATAGAAAGCGCCACATGAGAAAAGGAATTACTATGCGACAGCATATTGAATAACTATAAAGGAAGAGAAATCGTTGTATGACAATGAAAAATCCCCGGAAAGACCTCATAGACTGTACGAGAAAAACTACACGAGAGTGAAATAAAAACAACATAGGAAAATGAAAAAAATACACCGTGCGAGAATGAAAAATAACTGGTTGAAAATAAAACAAAAAAAAAACAATATCAATTAGCAGTCGGGAATATCGATTTAAATGTTTTTGAGCCTTCGGACGGATTAATTCCTATCTCGTGTGGCGATTTCTATTTTTCATTAACTTGAAACTCAGTACACTTTTGTCTTGTTTGGCTTGCCACAGCTTTGTTTTTAATCAAAACTACCTTGATAAAAAGCCCTCCTTAATTGCATGTTGAAACTTTTTGCTGAAAAATTGTGTAGCGTACGGAATATTTACCGCTACTATTTTCAAAACTCGGTCGTAACTCTAGTTTTGCAACACAAGTTTGTAGGTGCACGACTAGAAAGTAATTTTATACCTAAATCTTAAATCAAGAAAAGCACCAAGCCAGAATGAAATTCAGTCTCATGTCGTGTTAAAATGGACCGCACTTTATGAGTTCAGTTTTAAAAACCTGACAAATATTATTAAATATATTCAGTTTACAAAGAATATTCAACACAGTTTTGCTCTTTCTGACGTACTTGCTACTAATAGAATGGCCTCAAACTATCATGATTATTATTCTATCTTACAGCTAGAGACTAGAGTTAAAATAACAGTTTTTTTTGTTATTGATATTGCAACATAAAACATATATAATATTAAAACTTCTTAGCGACACAAGCGTTGTCCTTCAACTTAATTGTAAGTCATTTAGAAATTCTTTAAGTTGAAGATCATATTTTATTTTGATAGCTTTGACGACAGTCGAGTCCCTTATTTATTTTCCGTCAAAACAAAAATGAGACGAAAAAGAGAGAGAAAAACTATCGCTGACTTCTTCCGATGGTGAAGATGGAATGTCGTGTGCTAATGTTATGCTTGGATAGCGCTGCAAAATAAACCATATCGGTGGAAACTGGATGTAAAACCTAGATATTGTGTTGAAATGAGCGCTAGCAGAAAAAGAAAATTAAAGAGAGAGAGAGATTACGGGGGATGCCCCCGAGGGGAACTCCGGATTGGAAAAGTGCAGGGATCGGCTCGTCGTACCTCTTAGGGTTTCAGATCTGCAATTTGGTACCTCTTAGGGTGTCAAAAATCTAAAAGGACCACCAGAGAGTAAAACAGTAACTCTTACGGCATTTTTGAGGCAATAAGATACCTGAGATTATATGATGACAGTCAGAATGGCAGTTGTACTTCAGGATATTTATTTTCGGTTCATTATCTGACTTCTGTCACAGTTATAGATCATAGATAATTGGTACCTCTTAGGGATAAAATTCATTAGTTGCCACGCCCAACTGGACAGGACTTGTGTACCTCTAAGGCAAAAATAGGTTATAATTAAAGGAAGATTGATGTCAGTCTTGTGATAATAGCGATAAAAGAGGTTGAGTTTGAGCAACTTCGCTTAACGATTTGTTTAAAAGCCATTTAGGAAAGAGTTTTTTTCAAGTGATTCTTTGAACTCATCGATCATTATTTGAAGATCATTTTGCATTTATATTAAATCGTTATTCGTAACATTTTGAATGCATTATTGGCATAATTAAAAATATTTTGCATGGAAATGAGATGGACGGAATGGATTCACCTGAGCAACGGGATGGGTTGGCCGGAACAAAGGATTTGATTCACCTGAGCAATGATATGGCTTGGCCGGAGCAACGAGATGGGTTGGGCTGAAATGACTCTTTTCTTTATTTGTTTATTAAATTGCAATATTATTTACAAATTTTATTTTTCAATTTTTACTGAGACCAATTAATTTCTATATTACTAAATTTCATAAAATTATGAACCCTTTGTGTGTGAGAAATATATTGCTGCTCTTTGCAGCTCATGGTTGTGATTTTTCAAGTGGTACAAAAAAATTGAACCTAGAATTTTTTTTGCAAATAATTAGCTGTTTCCATACCAAAAAGAAACTTCAACCAAAGTTATCAAAATTAACATAATTAATTCAAAAATGAACCCTAAAGATAATCAATAATTAATAATAATAAATTCAAAAATGAACCCTGGATAACTGAGTTGTACCTAAATGTTGCTAATGTTAAAATGTTAAAGTCTTATGACAACTCTTATCAGTTAAAAAATCTCTATTAAGTGGACACCTTAACGTCCTTGTCTTGTGCCAGATTAATAAAGGGTGTTTACTGAATAAAGGTTCGTTTTACCATAAATACAGTGGCACCTCTATTAAGCAGATACCTTTAGGACCTTGCTTGGTGTCTGCTTAAAAAAGGATGTTCACTGAATAAAGATTTGTTCTACAGTATCCTACGCTCTGTATTACGCAGACACCTACAGGACTAGTGTTCACTTATCAAAGGATTTGTTTTATAGTATTCTACACTCTGTATTATGCAGACACCTACAGGACTAGTGTTCACTTATCAAAGGATTTGTTTAACAGTATTCTACAGTACGCTCTGTATTACACAGACACCTACAGGACTAGTGTTCATTTATCGAAGGATTTGTTTCACAGTATTCTACAGTACACTCTGTATTACACAGACACCTACAGGACTAGTGTTTACTTATCAAAGGATTTGTTTTACAGTAAATATGGGAAGCAAAATTTTGGAGCCCAACTGCCTGTCTGTTTAATGAAGGGCGTCTGATTAATAAAGGGTGCAATTAATAAACATATTACTGTAATAATACAATTTTGATGGGTAATCAATTCAATGATAATTAATGAAAGTATTGATATTTATAAATGATTCATTTAATCGTCATCACTGAAGGATGATGCTGATGACATTTCATCATCTGAGTCGTCGTTGTTGGCGGGTGGTGGCCCTCCACCAGGGACAGGTGCATCTGGATTTCTAATAATAGTAATAAATAGAAATAATAAGTGTTAGTAAGAATACGCAAGTGATTATTGAAAATCTTGCGCACTGATTGGTCGAGAAACTCACACTATCACATGATAATCGCCTCCAGCGATAATCCAAAATGGCGGCCAGCCCTGCCAACCCCTGCGTGCTTTATAACTGCACACAGCACGTGCGCACATTTTCTATTTCTTCAAAAGAAAAGGAAAACTTACTCCAACAAGTCAGGATCCAGTCCTTCTGCTGCCATCTTGGATCTTAATGCACCAGCAGGAACACCCTACAAAAAAAGTACGAGTAACCATGATAAAATATTAATAAGAAAAATATATATACAGCAAATATATAGAAAGTTAAAACAGTTTGTTTTGGTCTACAATATCAAAAAAATCTTACCACTTTCACCATTTGGAAGTATTTGGCATATCTGGGATCCTTGGAGACTGTCATTGCTGAGAGAAAGAAATGGAAAATTAACAGAGAAGATGAAAGGAAACAACATAGTGAAAGGAAGAATAAGGGAAAATATGAAAGACAACATGGAGAGCAAGAACAAAAAAGGATGGAATAAACAATGGTAAAGCAGGGATGGAAGAATGGATGAATGATATAATGGGAAATAGAAGAATGGATGGAAAAAGGAAGGAAGGAGGCTTTCAGAATAAGCCGGTAAGCTGCTAGAGCTCTGGCCTTTGCTCTGAAGTTAACTGCCTAGCTGCTGTTTCTATAAATTTCTATAAAATACCATGTCAGTTCCTGGTATCAAATCACAGCCAGCTACTTCAGATTATATAGGAAGGAAAGAAGGAAGGAAGGAAGGAAGGAAGGAAGGAAGCAAAGAAAAAAGAAAAACATACTGTATTTAATATATTCATAAATCTATTAAAAACATTCATTTAGATTACTTACTTGGTGCCTCTGGTTCTAGAGACAAGAAAAGAGAAATTATATAAGAAATAATCATACCTTTTTTTATTGGGATGGGGTTGGGTGCTTTGCAATAGCACACAATGCTTCTGCACACTTTCTAGCTATTTGTTATTTTTATCCAAGATAATGGCTGTTCTAAATATTTTTTTTATATAAAAGAGAAAACAATTCTTGCTGTCCTGCATGAAGTTCTAACTGTGCACTTCTAACCGGCTTTGGCAGAACAATCAAGGAGTGTTGAGAAGCACTCATGTTTTGCCAAGCCCCATATGCTTTATAACTGGACTCGGCATGCTTTCTATTTCTTTGATATAAAAGTATCCAAAAAACATAATTTTCTGTTATGTAGTTCCAAAACACATCCATACCCCCACCCACTGAGGAAATTGGAAAATCTGGAGGGGAGGGGGGTTGGAGAAAGAACAAAATTATAGAGTTTGTATGGAAGAAAATTGGAAGTTCCTGGGTATAGGGGGGTCCTTTTAAAAATTCCCTTCATGGTGGGGTATGGATATTTTCTGGGAAGTTTTATATATTTCCTTATCAATCTTACCTGGCTCAGGTTCTGGTGGAGGGGCAGGTGGTCCACTCTGAATTAAAAAACTAATTAATTAAAATATATTAAATTTATCAATTTATATTTATATTAGTTTTGGAGTCAAACCCGAGACCCCAGAGATGAGAAATGAGTTTATTATCTGCTCATTTATCATTCATCTACCTCTGTGGCAGGAGCAGCAGCAGCAGCAGCAGAAGCAGGCGTACTAGGAGCAGCAGCTACCGGTTGTGAAGCTGGCTGTGATGCGGCTGCAGGAGCTTGTACATCTTCAAGGCCAGGAATAGATGACAACTACAAGCAGAAAAAACACCTTTTTATGATATGCACTAACCTGGGGGGAGGGGGAGGGACTCTTGAACATTTAGGGTAGGGATGTGCCGCTGAGCCCTCCGAACCCTGACCCTGTTCCAGAGTGAAATCGCTGAAATTCATACCCTATTCCAGAGCAAGATTGCTGAAAGCCATACCCTATTCCGGTATTGCGAAAATAGATACCCTGTTCCAGAGAGGAGAGAGCGTGATTTCATATACCCTGTTCCAGAGCGAGAGTGATTTTATATACCCTGTTCCAGAGTAGAATCACTGAAAACCATACCCTGTTTGGTTTTGTGTATGTGTTTATAAGTACTATGATTATGCTGTATCATACTGTAGGAATGAGGTTTTTAAAGATTTAGAGTTTCGATTTGTCAAACTTATATTTCTCGGAAGAAATTCGAAGAAAATTAATTTTCTATTTCTACAGTTTTGAACAGAATGATTCTCATACCTTCGCTTCTAAAATATTCATCATAATTTCTATTCTTTGAATTCTTCCTGATAAAACAGACAATTTCTAAAGACAAAATTCAAATTGTTTTAAAATTATATGGTAAAACTTGAGCAAAATCGATAGGCTGTTTAGATAATGATATCTTGTTTTATTTATTATATATTTTGGGCACTAACCTCTTCGCAGACACAGGAAAATCTATTCAGAAAGCGTACAGTATGTGTAATAAAGTGATTGAGAAAGGCCAGAGTTCTCTTGTGGTTGAGAGGACCGACCTAAAAATACCAAAATAAACATAGAAAACAATAAATAAACGAGTTAATTTCATACACAGCGAGCAAAATATGAATATTACTTTTGTGTAGTCGACATTAGGAACGATTCGAAAGCCTTCGCTGTCATCCATGGCGTGAAATATTTTGTCGAAAAATACAAATTGACGATGAAAATGGAGGAAATGACAGATTGTGCCAGGCGCCGCTCGTTGGTCCAACTCTGGAAGAGGCTTATGGGAAACGTCTTTGGGCTTCCTGTGTTTTCTACACATTTTCACTTTTTCATTGGCATACTTGGCATTGTATAGGCATATATAGGCATACATAGGCATAAATAGCCGTACATAGCCATACATGGTCATACATAGCCATACATAGCCATACATAGTCATACATAGCCATACATTACTGGGTTGCCTGTGGCAGCCCAATCGTAAAGAAGTGTTACAGTACATTAAAAAACACCCATTTAAAAGGGGTACACTTTTGAAAAAATTTGATGTGCAGAAGAAAAATACACCTAAAATGTGCCAAAGTACTCCCTCCTCCCAAACAGCATTACATAACAAAGATTAGGTGTCAAATAAGCTCCAGCATACCAGCACATTAGGCAATCCAGTGCTTCATATAGTATATCTGAGTATATAGATAAGAAATTAAGCGGTTATGTACCGGACCAACTTCCGCCAACCACTAATTTAAGATGCATTTTATTTTCATTCGCGAATCGAGATTGGCATGTGTAGCGTTCCGCTATGTGTTGATCGACTCCTAGCATGAGCATCGAGCGTCAATAGAGCCGATTTTATTCAATCAAATTGTCCGGGCTTCGAAACTGCGCGAAACCAGACCCAACATGCTAAAGCCGGTCTAATGCGATCTCTGTTTTAGCCGTCCTCTGAGTTTGCAAAGTATCAATAAAATCCCAAGGCCCATCCGAACAACGGTTTCATATATATGGTATGAATAATTGTAATACTTTGTTACTTCTCTTTCTTTGAGGCGCTATCTTCGAATCTTACGGTCCCATTACACTAGGATATGATCCAACCACGTTTAACATCGATCACGGCACGGCAAATCTGTACCTACCAAATCTGTGTGCACTTAGCTTCTATCCGCTCTGATAAGTGCCGCGCAGAAAAATAATTTTCAGCTCGTCGTATCGGATAGAATGTGAGTCCAGGAATGGATTAGTCTGTACCTTTGAATCTTTCACAGTCACGCAGAATGTTCCTTTATTATCTTTTTATGTGCTTTGAGTTTTGGAAATTAAAAAAAGTGACTTTAAAAGTAGTTTTTCATGGTGGAACACTTAGGATACGGATGAGGACTACATCCCGGGCGGAGAGTGATACTTGTAAAATACAGTAAATGTATGTAAATTGGGCCGTGGGGGGCCTTGAAATGCACTCTACGCCCGATATGTAGTCTTTTCCTCAAAATACAGCATTTATTCACAAGAAACACTCTTAATTCACGTTAAAGGATACTGCTAATTTAGGTAAGGGTTTCCGACTAGATTCAGCTTAATGGAAACACTTATTTCAAACAAGAAATATTCCATATATATAATCGGGTTAAGAAATACCCAAATAGTATAGGTAAGAGATCAGTTTTGTCCAAAACTTAGGTAAACTCGTACTTTAAGGTAAGCAAAGGGATACTCGTACTGAGTTTAGATAAGTGATACTCCTAGTTCAGGTAAGTTATTCTCCTACTTTAAGCAAGGGATACTCCTAAATCAGCTTATTAAGGGATACTCCTATCTCAGGTATAAGGTATTCTCCAAGTTGAGGTAAGGGACCTACTCTTGAATCAGGTTAAGGGATTCTCTTAAATCAAGTTAAGGGATACTCTTGAATCAGGTTAAGGGATACTCCTAGTTTAGGGATATATCTGAATCATTTTGTCTTTGTTTTCTTCCCCCGCAAAACCAGCCCAATGGGATAAAATCATTTTAGCCGAGCTCTGACTTTGATCCGCAGGGTATCGATAAACTAAATTGTCAGGCCTATTTCTAGCACGGTTTCAATATATATTATGAATGCTATATTTTGTTACTTCTCTTTCTTTGCGGCGTTATCGTCGAATCTCACGGTCCACATTACACCAGAATATTTTCCATACACCTTTAACATCGATCACGGCATGGCAAATCTGTACCTAGTCTAGTGCGCATTTAGTTTCTATCCGCTCTGAAAAGTCGCGCTCAGAAAAATAATTTTCAGCTTGTCGTATCGTACAGATCCCAGAATGGATTAGTCTGTACCTTTGAATCTTTCACAGTCACACAGAATGTTCCTTTATCATCTTTTTATATGCTTTGAGTTTTGGAAATTAAAAAAGTGACTTTAAAAGTAGTTTTTCATGGTGGAACATTTAGGATACGGATGAAAACTACATCGCGGGCGGAGAGGCATACGCATGAAATACAGTAAATGTATGTAAATTGGACTGTGAGGGGGCCGTGAAATGCACTCTACGCCCGATATGTAGTCTTTTCCTCAAAACACCGCATTCATTCACAAGAAACACTCTTAATTCACGTTAAGGGATTCTTTAGTTTAGGTAACGGATACTTTTAGTTGAGGTAACTATTACTTCTTGTTCAAATAAGGGATTCACTTCTCAGTTCGGGGATAATGATTTAGGCCATAATAATATAATTTAGGTTAAGCGATACTCCTAGTTCAGGTAAGGGATACTCCTAGTTCAGGTTAAGAGATATTCCTACATTAGGTTAAGGGGTACTCCTAAATTAGGGTAAAATCCTAATTCCCAATTTAGGTTAGATTCGTTCAAATGGATACTCCTAAATAGGTTTAAGGAAATGGGATTCCTGTGTTCTAGATTACCCACAATGCCATGCTATTCCCAACACGTGTTGTTAGCGTTGGACGCCATTTTGATTTTCAGAGGAAGAAGTTCTTTGTTGAATGTGTCTTGTTTTTTCTCTTATTTATACCACTTTATAGAATATTTTTAACATGTAACGGCGGAGTAGGTAAGTTTATTTTTTTCCACGATGTCAGGGGCTGTGAAAGAAGAGCCTGGTCGACAAATAAGCGAAGATCAGAAGGTAAAAATTAATGTCCTTTGAATTTTCTTTGAATTCATTGTTTATTTTATTTCTTAAAGCTTTTCTTATTAGTCATATATCTAAAGGTTTAAGTCATTTTTGAAAATCATCGAATATTTTGATGCATTTATTCAACGTGATTAAATAAATTAAAAAAAACATTACATGCTATAGTGTAAGAAATTCATGTAAGCTTCATATAGCCTTTTGCAGAGTTTTTTTAATTTCGAATTCTTAACGATAAAAAGGGTTGGTGTTTTAAATGGTATGGCATAAAATAGTTATACAATGCTTTCTTATGGCATTCCTTGTTTACTTACACCTGCTTACTAGAAAAATAAAGTGCTTTGTGGGATATTGTAGTGCGCATGAGCAAATGTAACACACCGTGGCGCCAAACATTGTTTGACGAGAGCAGCTGTCAAAATCATGACAGTGTTGCTAAGTTACACCACGCATGCGCGACAGAAATAACGTCCTACATCGGCAGAGTCTATTTTTCTCTCTCAGCCAAAACAAAAGGAAAATAGGCTCTGCTAGCAGGGAAGGATATTGTGTGACATGCAGCCCAAAACCATAGCATAACTAGTATGAATCAGGTATGGGGGGCAGTTGGATTCACTTGGTTACCCATACTTAAAATCAGACCCCCACTCCTGCTCTTAGTTGTGGCATAAAAATGGTCCTCTTGTGTTCAGTTCTGTTTATTGTGTAAGTGCTGTGCAACTCCAAATGACATCTGCCCTCCTCCCCAGCAAAAAAATGGATGGTCCTCTAAAGAAGCTAGGGGTAGTGAAACTGTAATAAGGTTGTATTCATTGTTTTAGGAGACAATTTCCTTCTGGAGTCAAAGTGAGCGTGGACAGAAAGCTGAACAGCGATTGGTTAATCACCCATATGACTTGGAATCATGGGGGGTGCTTATAAGAGAGGCACAGGTAGGATTGTATGTTTTAACAGTGAGGAGGTCTAGGTTCCAAAGTATAA